TCTAATGTTTCTAGGAACACTTAAATATCAGTTACTTATGAAATGAATAGAATTAAAAGAATATGTAGTAATATTTATTTATCCAAAAAACAAATAGACAAATTCTTTCAAAATTTGATAAAAAACAATGGATATCCAACTAAAGTATTTAAATTCTATATAAAATAATGTTCGACAAATCGTGAGTTCAATCCCGAAGATTGAAGACTCTCCGAATAGAAAATGGTGACATCAACACTCTAAATCTGCAGGGGTCACAAAGTCCCCCAAGTCCCCATAAAATCAATACCTCTGAGGGTACTGGATTGGAAGTTGGTCGTGCTTTGGTTTAGGTCAAAATTACGATCTACGGATATGCGTCTTTCCTGTAAAACAGGTTTTAATGCATGTATGTTGCCTCCAGACATCTTTAAGGACGCTTCCCGTCACCAATAGCCCATTTTGCAGCTCTAGTCAGACGTAAATANTATTTGATTTAACAAATAAGAACTTTATCCTCGCCAACAAGACCCAGCTCATGAAAGTAATTAGTTCTTTGTAGCTGTCTTGTCACAGGTCTGCAGCCGAGATGGTTAATCGGTCAATCTCACGACAGACGGGAAGCCAGTTCGAATCCCAGCCAGTGTCGATATGCTCACAGCGAAAACTCTCACAAGTACTGTATTATCTAATTCAATATTTAAATTCAACAAACGTTAAGATAAAAAAAATTCCTATCTAAGGCTTTCTCTATCAAAAGGAATTTTTTTGAAACGAAAACTATAGTATTTTTTATCGCTTACGATAGATGGCACCACTAAATACAAAAATTTCGAATATTAACAGTAAAAATTTTGACTGCAATTTACAAACTGAAATACTGAAAATCGCTCAAACACGAGTTAAAATCACTCAAACTCGAGTGAAAATAACTCAAGTTTGAGTGAAATTTTTTTCACTCAAATTGACCTATTTCCATATAACTCTTTCACTTGAGTTTCTAGATGAAAGAGTTAAATATCACTCAAGTTGAGTTATTTTCACTCGTTCATTTTAAGAGAGTACTCAAAGATTTGGAGAAATAATTACGAGGACATGAAATTAAAGGAAGATATTAAAAATATCTTTTCGAAAGGGTTTTTATTGTGTGAATAAAAAACGATTGCAAAAAGCTAGAAAAGAACTAGTAGCACATTTTTTTTTAATCTTACCAATTCCGATTACTCTCCATTTTTATTTTTGTTCATTTATTATTTCAAAAAATAATTTTTCCCACAATAGTCTTTTTTAATTATTATATCCAAACAAATAACTATTAAAATTACTTGAAAACACATGTACACAATAGATTCTTTATTAGGTTCTTTATTTCATTTTTTTTCTTAACGGAAAATACGTTAAACATTTTTCTTGAGACTTCCAATTATCTACAGTTAAATGAAATAACTTTATCTAGTTAAATATATTTTTAAATATCAACTACGTTCAATGAACTAATACAATAAAGATTTATTTTTACATATTAGCCTTAAAAACAGTTTTCTTTTTTCTTATTCTGATTATTTTCACATTTGTTTTTATTTCATATTACGTTTTCGTTAAAAAAGAATTTTTTTTTTGCTATCCTAACCTATACTTTTTGAAATGCTTATTATGTTCTTAATTAACATACGAAAAAATGATAGTTAAATATGAATGAGAATATTCTTTTTTGTTTTACTCTAATAGATAATTTTTTAATGCCTTCGTATGTGCAGAATGCAGACAAAAAGGACACATACAATAGATTCGTTGCAAGGTTCTTTATTCATTTTTTTACACGAAAAGGAGTACATTAAACATTTTTCTTGGATGCATCCAATCAACGACAGTAAATGAAACAACTTCATTTGGTTAAATATCTTCTAAAATATCAACTACTTTCATTAGATTTCAAAGTTAACTGTTGATTTTTGCATACATAATTTTTAAAACAGTTTAAACTAAAAACGTAGTGATGCGTATAAGTTAACAACAATTCAAATAATTTTTTCAAACAATTTTATTAGATTTCAGAAATGGAAATTTCCATGATTGAAAGAGTCATAAAGCATTTCATATTCTGTGGTTTGTTATTCTTAAGATATAAAGCATAAATTTAACAGAAATATTCGCCAAAATATTTATTTTATTATTAAAAAGAGGTGTTTGTTTGTTTACATACATTAACAAAGAACAGACACAGAGATTTTAAGAAACTATCTAAATATAAATAAAGACCAGCAGAAAAAACATCCATTTAAGCACATGGTTTAAACAGAAATGATTAGGTAAACTATTTACAAACATTAAAATAAGGCAAATTTCCTTCAAAACTATGTTTAAAAAAGCATTAGATATTTTTTAAATTTTATTTCAACAATTCAACTGAATAAAATATTTTTTTATCATTTTTACCAGACATTCTGAATAAATTATTTTTAATAGCAAAAGCAACTTAAAGCCCAAATAAAGGTACATACTATAGTTTCAGTTTCATAAACCAGAACCTTTTTCAGCGTCTAAACAAAAAATAATAAATCATCATTTGGTGTTTAGACATTAAAGAAATTTGATGCTTATAGAACTGAAACTATAGTATGTCCATCAATATACTTTGATTTGCGCTTTATTCATGTTTTTTGCTTTAGTCTACGTATCACAAAGTATACCCTATCCTTTCTTGGAATTAATTTTTCACATACAAATTAACTTGTGGTATGAAAAATACAAGAAATTTCTAATAAAAATTGTATTTTGGGCATAGAAAAAATGTTAACAGGGTTAACATATTTATGAAACATGCATCGTTTGCTTAGTGCCTCTACATATCAACGGTGTTGCCCATCTTCAATTCCTTGTGTCTCTGAGAATTTGGTCCTTTACTGATATGTTTTCCTTCACCATTAATTTTAAAAAACTTAAACAGAATCATAGAAAAGAATCGACCAAGTTGTAAAATTTCAGCAGTATTTTTTACATTAAAACTTACTGCCATAAAATCAATAAGAAAATTTCTAAAACACAATGTCTGATAATTTTTTACTCAATTTTATTAAAATCTAACGTGCGCATTTGTGAAGCATTCGAAACCATTGATAGTGCGAAACTACAACGTGCGCAGAACAAACTTTATTTTAGACTTAGAGATGCAAAAAAAAAATTAATATTTAAAATTTTGTGATATTCTAAAAAGTTACTATTCTTACAATTGTATGTAATAATACATTTGTTTAATTCAAATAAATGAAACAATAAATAATCAAATATTTTAATTCTTGAAAATAATACACCATCACCTGGTATCTGCTGCCATTGATAAAAGGGAAATGAATGTTCTTTCTTGCGTTGTTTTCGGTATCGATGATTTGTAAACAGTCTTTACATGACTACATGGAAAGAAATAGCATGGCTTAAATTCCAAGGATCATTCCAGCCATGTGAGTCAGTATAAATCACTTATCACCTGCACGCTCAAGACATTGTTTATCTACCACCGATTCCGATAACACCGAGAGCAAACAATGAAAACAATGAAAATCAGCCTTCTAATTGGACTTGAAATAAAACACTATCACCTGATACCTGTTGCCATTGATAAAATTAAAATAAAATTAATATTTGAGTAGCTTCACACTGTCAATTCCTAATGCTTAACAAATGCGTTCCTTCTTGCGTTATTTTCGGCATCGATGATTTGTAAACAGTCTTTACATGACTACATCGAAAGAAATCTCATGGCGTAAATTCTAAGGATCTTTCTGGCTATTTGAGTAAGTGTAAATCACTTGTCACCTGCATGCTCAAGACATTAAAATACAGATTAAGTTGGCAAAGTGCAATTGTAAATTAAAAGGAAACAGAACAAAATTAAAAGTGTAAGTTGTAAACGAAATTGCATAAAATATTTACGTTTTCAGTGCATTAAACAAGTAAGGACAAAACAGGTAGCCAAGAAACACCTGAGTGCCTCAGTTCCTTTAAGCATCTCTTTGTTTATTTACGTTTAAACTCAATTTTATGATAAAAAAATAGAAAAGTATTTCTTGAATTGCAAATTTCAATCTTAAAACTCAAGGAATCCCCAGTGTGTTGAAATATTGTAGAATAGTAAGGGATTCAAATAAATAAATTTTAAAAGTGAGTTGAGACGTTTCTTACGAAAATAATCTGAAAGGTGGCCATTCAAATATAGGCTGGACTACTCGATTCCTGATAAGAATCTGTCACTATATTCAAAATTAAATACTCATTGAAAAATGAGAATTGATACACTTCTTGGAGGGTTTGATGGCACGTAAATATTTCAGAAGTAAAATTTTTATACTAACGATCATTACAGTCGACGTTTTTTTATGTTTGAATTTTAACGGGTGTAAAATGTAAATTAACTCTTTCATTCCCAGCATTATTAAAAAATAATACTACTTTCTTGGATTTTACTAATAACCACATTTTTCTTTAAACATAATTTTCTTTTTTTTTTTAAAAAAAAAAAAAGAATATTGTTGCGCTGCTTCACTTGTTACAGCATTTTTCGTCATAATTTTTACATTCATTTGTTAGTAACTTAACTTTTTTATTAAAAAAAAATTTAAGGATTCGTTTATGAAACAGAAACTAAAATTTTATAAGTTTCTTACCTTTTAATTTAATTGCTAAATAATTTTTTCGTTAATTTTTTCATTTGCGAAATAAGGAATCGAAAGAAACTGGAAATCAAAAAAACATTTTTTTATAATTTGTTTTGGCCAGAAAAAATATTAAGATGTAAAACGGTTAAAATCTTATTATTTACATATAAATATTAAGTAATTTTTCTTATAGAAATGAAATTCATTTTTGCTTTATTTTAATTTTCTGAAGCGAATGCAAAATAATAAAGAGTAATAGAAATATTTTGCCTTTTTCTTGTCTCAGTGCAGATATTATTATGTCAATAATTAATGTATCATACAAATTTGATCGAAAAGTGCAAAATTATTTACATTAAGAGCAAAACTTTCAAAAATGAAAGAAATTAAACAATAGATGCTGTTCTTCTTATAATATAAACTAATATAAAATTTAAATTTGAAGTGACAAAACTCTGTATACTTTGTGTGATCTTTGCCTTGTAAATACTTTTAAGGAAGTAACATGAAAGATTCTAAATCTAGGTATACTTAAAATTGCAACATTTAAGAAATTAAGACAAAATGAATTAAACAGAATAATTTACATAAAATATTCCACATATAAAAATCATCCACATTGCTTTTGAATATCGATTTAAGCCATACAATTGCAAGGAATTCAAGCAATTTAAACAGGGGTGATAACACCCGTATCACTTTCAACGGGATCACTTGTATGCCTACGAGTACCACCACTTGAAGAAAGAGCTCGAACAATCTTTGGATTGTATAATTTGGGATCAGATACCATGCGAACGAAGAAGCTGCGCTTGTATTTTAAACTGTGCTTGCGTTTTCTTTCTAATAAGAATACCTCATCAACAGCTTCTTCTACGTGCTCTGTAACTTCTTTCTCTTCTTCTTCCTCTTCTTCCTCTTCCTCTTCTTCCTCCTTTAAATAAATAAGAAGTTAAGCATTTGGTGTTGTTGCATTTGGTGCAAATTTTGCTTTCAATAAAGTAACAATTAGTTTCAGCTCTTTCAAGAAATGACTCGCAAAAATATTAAAAGGAGAAGCAATCAATATAATGACTTTTTAGTTAAATATAAAATAAAAATCTTACAGGAATTTCTTCTTCGAGTTTTGCCAGAAGCTCTTCTGTGAACAAAGTAATGACATCCCAAGCGTAAAGAATGTCAGCATCAGTTGCATGTTGAGCACATACACAGAATCTGATGACGTAATTACCACTCAAAGATGCTGGAACCATATGCAGTTTTCCAGATGCGTTCATAGCTGATAGGAGCTTTTGATTGAGGCTGTTAGAGCCCTAAAATGATTTCAATATTTTCTTTATTAAAGCAAAATGCTTCATCAGATGCATTCATGGCAGATAAAAGCTTTAAAAACTACTGAACACTAAAATGATTTCAATATGTTTTTAATTAAGTTAAATGTTTCATTAGCTTTTGACATGCATTCATGTCTAAAAAAAGCTTTTAAGAGTGTTTTTAAATTAATTGAAGCAAATTTTGAATTCAGTCAAATGTTTTATTAATGACATCAGAATCAATCATGGCTGATCGAAGCACTTGAATAAGAATCTTAGAGCCCTAAAATGCTTTTAATATATTTTGAATGAAGTAAAAATGCACAATTATAATATTTCAGGTAACTAATATTCAGAAAAAATACATTATTCCATTTATAAATTGACAAGAAATTAAATTTGAATAAAAATCTAAATATATTTATCCTTTCACATCAAAAATGCTGTGGTGGGAGAAACAAATACAATAAGTAGTTGTAATTTTTTTAGTATTTGTTTTAATTTTTAAGAATTTTTTTTGGAATTTGTTTTAATTTCGATTTTAAAACGTAGATTCTAATTTCGAATTTTAAATGTAGAAGCAAAGGGGAGACGTCAGTAGGAAAGGAACAGTCAAAAACAGATTGTCCTCTGATCGGAAAAAAAAATTTGAAGAAAATTCGAGTGGAAAAATAGTGAAGAAATTCGCAAAAACATTTATAATTTAAGTCTGTGCCTTCAGTCGAGGAAATTATAATGCTAATCCTAGATGAACTTTGAAAAACAAAAACACGCCTTCCAAAAATGGTTTTGCTATAGTTTTAAAGCCTATCATTGATTTCCAACTTAGACTTAGTCTGCCATTTTCAAAAAAATAAATAAAAAAATACTGCTTGATGACGCCAAAGCAACTAATTTGTTCCAATATAATATTTTACATGATAAACGATTTTTACTTCAAAAATTATAGAGTAAGAAACAATAAAGTGTGCGTATTTTCTGATACGCAATATTTAAGATGAGAACCTTCAAAAAAATTTCTTCATTCAAGGTAGCCCTCAAACTTAGGGAACTTATTTATTTTCACCTATATTATAATATAAGAAAAGATTTCTGCTGCCTTGTTAGAAATATCTAAACATGCGTGAAAATAAATCCTTAGAAAAATTTTATTTTATGAAAAATTACCTGACAAAATTTTGGATATTTCGTCACCCCAAAGGGGATTGTGAAGCTGATATCCCCCTTCAGCCTCACTCTGGATCTGTAGAAATTTTGTAATAAAAATTTTTAAGAACTTCGATCACTGCAAATCTTAATCATTTCTATAACTCCCATCCGAATAAGTGTTTTTGTGATTGATTATTGTACTTCAAATTGCTTTTTGCAGTCATCATTTAAATAAACACTTCAGTCCTTAGATCTATATTGATTTGATAGTGATTTAACATTTAAAAGAAACTGCTTTAAAAAATTAAGCTCTTGTAAATTATAAACCATTTTCAAAACGTATGGTCAATAAACTTGTTAAAACAAAATATGAAATTTTTCTTTTTTAATAAATATGCACATGAAAAACTAAATCATAAGTAACCCTTATATTTTTTTAAAAAAAATTAAGCTTTAAATACTGTGACTCATGCTGGAAAACAATAAACAGCTTCTTTCAGATCTTCAGCGGATTTTTTTTAGTTATGAATCTATTAAAATGTGTGGTTCATAAAAAATATGTGAGTGAAATTAATAGTTTGAAGTGTGTTTAAGGATATTTCAGGCTGATTGATTGTTACATTTAATTGGAAAAAATTCAGAAATTAATAAACGGCTCATTATTTCCAACTATTTATTTTTATCAATTCAGAAATGGACCAGTTTATAAATAGAATAATAAAGATTTCACTGACCTTTAATCGAAAACATACTAAACCAAAATGAACTTGATTAGCAACTATGAACCTTTCATCATCTCGGACTAGACTTTCAAATTTTTTCGCTAAACGTACGTGCTGGAAAAAAATTACAAAATGTTTCAATTTTATATACGAAAAATATAGGCATAAACAAAATATAGACAATTAGTTTTCAGTTCCTCTTAAAGGAAGACACCACACTAAATATTTTTATTATTTTTCAGCATTTTGTAGAAGCTTACAGTGTTTAAAATAATTTCATAAGGAGATTATAGGGAGGTAGGCATATTATGAGAACATCAATTGCATTTCTCACGAAAACATGTTGTTGTAGTTGTAGTTCATTTACGTCGCACTAGAGCTGCACAATGAGCTATTGGCGACGGTCTGGGAAACATCCCTGAGGATGATCCGAAAACAAGTCATCACAATTTTGATCCTCTGCAGAGGGGATGGCACCCCCGCTTCGGTAGCCGAAGTCGAGCACTTTATGGTAGAACAGTTTAACGAGGACCAATACCGCAGACCCTCGGTCCCTATGCAGACTGATCCAAGTGGTCACCCACAAGCACACTGACAGCAGCCAGTGATGCTTGACTTCGGTGATCTGCTGGAAACCGTGTCTTAATTATGAGTCCACTGCGGGACCACAAAAACATAATTATCAGCTATCTACTATCAATAATCTATCTTTTTTCGCCTGGATTGTCTGGTTGGAAGGGCGTTGGGCCCATGATCAAAAGGTCATCAGTTCGATTCCCGCTCTCCCCGAAGACTCCACGTGCAACAAATGGTAACTGGTGTATGTTAAAACTGTCCAGTCATAAAGTCTTCCAAGTTCCCATAGCAAATCAATACCTCTGGGGGTACTGGATTGGAGATTAGACGTTCTCTGATTCAGGTCAAAATTACGATCTGTGGATGAATAAATGGACGTATGAATGTGACCGCCCTCTGAACCAAGCTGTGACGTGTGTGTGGCCGAAGTTGTATTCTTGGTCACTGGTGCCACTGAAAAACAAGAAACACACTATCTGCCTTAAATTGATTTGGTTTAGCCAAGCAGGGTTGCTAGTATTGGCAAGTGGCATTAGAGACAACAACTTCCCTTTTTGTTTTAATGAGATTATATCTAATTCTTACATTTTAGTAATTAAATAAAATGTTTTATACATAATAAGTAATGTTTTTATAACGTTGTTAATGATGTTTAGAATCCTTGTCAAAAACGAAATAAAAAAAACAAGTACATTACGGATGACAAATCAGTATTTAAGCGAACAAAAACGTTAACAAAATTTGGCGAATGACTCTCGAAGAATGCGAGACGGAACTTGGAACTTGGATGCGTTTCTTGACAATTTCTGTTTCCTCACGCAACCAAAGAGGTTTCGATGTTTTGCCATCCTCAGTATTAATTTTTTACACATTAAGAAAATTTCGTGTAGCTGAATTCCAAAAATAGTGACAAGTACTTAACATCAAAGAACTGTTTCACTGAGTGTTCTACTACACCGAAAACAAGGATAGTTGCTTGTGCAGTAAAACACATAGAATGTCTTAAATGCAAATATAGATTGCAAATTTTATGAGAACATAAATATGAGAACATTATTATGTAACTAAAAACATACATGTATTTTATATTAGTTTATATGAATAGTTTGTCAAATCAATCTGACAGGAATATTGAAACTACTTGGCTAATAATCGAAGTCAATCTATGTTTCATACATCAGTAAAAAGCATTGAAACTTACTTGGTATTAAATAGGCTATGACCAGTTTGTCAATTAAATGTAATGGAAGAACTCAAACTTCACCAGAACATTTCAAGTAAACAAACCGCCATCTTGGCTGCCCTATTGACACTATCTTATTTGCTTTTCAACTTCTAATAATGATCCGAAAGCATTGGTTAAACATTTAAGATATGCCCTCACATTATTTCTAGCATGAATTTCCTTAAATAGTCTAAATATACACTGATATTTCGCCAAATTTGCGGAGCTACGAAAAGCATAACCTTCTTCAACAACGAGCTACAGAGTGGTGTGAGCAATAATTTGTGTTAAGATTTCCTTATTCCATTTGAAGAGTGTAAGAACATTCGATTCTGTATTAACTTGTAATAAAGTATTCATTCACAGAATTTTTGGAGTTTTTTAAGACCAGATATTACGCCACAGTTTTTATGGTGTAGCGCTGGGCATAAATATTAGTGTATGACTTCTAATGTGCATACAGTTTTGAATTTATTTTGATACGCATTTTAAAAGCACATAAAAAGAACGGTTATTATGGAATACCCAGTATATTTTTAATCTCAAGCGAATCAAGAGAAGAGAGGCATACAAAATTAAAATCAGTTTGATTGTCCTACGTATGTGAGAGAGCGTGATAGATGACAATTAGAAACACTCAAATTTCATATGACAGTCAAAGTTTTTTTGTATGCTTTTAATTTCCTTTTTCTTCAATATTGGAACTTTAAATTTTAATTACCTCTCTGTTTATCCTCAGATTAATATTAATTTTAGACCCTTGACGTGTGTACTCTCTTGACTTCACATTTGACTTCAACGACATATTTCAACTGTGCTCATAACAAAATATAATCAATTAACTGGTTGATGCGTCAAGGAGTGCAGTAAAAAAGTTGTATCATTCTTTTATTTTCCCCTGTCTAACTTTTCATATCTTATTTATAAAAAATTTTTAATTACCTTTTGTTTTTAAAAATCTACTTTTAAAATTTTAAGGTTATATTAAATGTATTTTTGGCCATCATAAGACAGAGGGTATACTAAAGTATTTGTTGAATTGAACTGACCCTGCGAATAATTGAGGTTTTATTACTAATGCCAGTATATACACGTCACATCAGTCTATGTCACACGTCTTCAAACTGTGACATGCTTTAATGTAAATAAAAAATTCAGCTAAGATTAAATCAAAATAAAATCAACAGCAATGAAAAAAAAATTAACGAAGAGAGTTCACAAAAAGTGGGTGCATAACATAGATCTGAATTTTAAGCTCTAATATTTAAGTTTAAATTGAATTCACAGTATAAATATTTTAATAAATTTATCATTCTGTCTTTTTCTTTGTCAGCTCTTCAGCCGTTGGTGGACTTTAGCTTTCTCTACATAGAGTTCCACGTCTCTCCTTATACTTTTTTCCCAGTCAAATGACAAGAATTAACATACATTATTGCAAAAGTTTTCCATAAAGTAAAAATAAAAACATTTAAAAATAAAAATTTTAAGTATATAAAGTAAACAGAGTTACTGTACAACCAAGGAAAAAGATTTTATCTAGGCGTTTTCAAATAAAAATAAGAGAATAAATTTTAAATAAAACACTAACTTAAACTATTGCTATTATAATTGTCTTATATTGTATGCTGCCCTTTACAAATAACAGCAATAGATACGTTATATTACTGTGTGAAAGATTATTGGAAATAGCAATATAGTGTTCTGATACATGCCCAAAAAAATAAAGTGCGAAAATACGATATTATTTTAACAGATATTAGATTAAAGTAAGTACTTTAATCTAATTTATCCATCTTTCAAATAATTTTTCATGTACTGAAACATTTTTTTAGATTCTTGTAAAATATTTCTATTACAAAATTCCATCTTCTTACTCGTGAATTAACTGCTACACACTCTAATAGCAATTAAGCTTATATTTAATTTATAGAATAAATTAGTAATAAATTAGTCCTCATTTAAAGCTCTACACCCTTTGGTAGGCTTTGATTTTCTCTATAGCCATACTACTCTCTATCTAGACTTCTTTTTCCAGGACAGGAATTTACATAAATTATTGCAGAAGTTTTCTATAAAACTATTTAAAGAAAAAAGACCAATATAATCTATGAAGCAAACGAAGTTTAACCAAAGAAAAAAACTTTAATAGTGTCTATATGCTAACAAATAAAAATGATGGAATAAATTCTAAATTGAACATTTGCTTAAATCATTGCTAATATAATTGTCTCATTTGCTTCTCGTAACAAATGGTAGCAATAGATAAGTTATATTACTGCGTGAAAGATCATTAGAAAAAGGCAACGCAACGCCACGCCAAACGAACGCAACGCCAAAAGTTTTTCTCTTTAATTCATTGTTGAAAATAAAATGATGGCCAAAGAGTTCAATAAAAAAGTTATTTTAGTGTTAATTTTACTTAAATAGAAAAGTATATAACATAAGTAGTGAATATTTAATGATTATGACATATATATGAATAGAATTCAGAATCAGATGCTGTTAACGCTATTGTTATGAAAAGTGCACAAATCTGTACAATATTTTTTTTTAAATTTCACTTACCTCTCGAATATATTTCTGAAGACCTTCAACTCCGTATTTTCGAATAACAAACCACAACTTAAGAGAACGAAATCTTCGGCTTAAAGGGATACCCCAATGCTGCAAAAAAATGCATTCTTAGCGTTTAGGATTCTTTATAGCAAACAAGTTAAAGAGAAGTTATTTCAAAGACTAGTATTTAAATTATAAATAAATAGGCGAACTTGTGGAGAACGTTTATTACTTATTTTGCTCATTATTGCTTTTTTTACAGACTTTACTCAATAGTACCGGTTAATAAAACTTTTTTTAAAATTTTTATTTTAATTATATATAAACTTAATAATTTGAGTCCTCAAAATATAAGCAGTCTGAAAAATGTTGGACCCATAATTCAGTTAGAAGAGTTTTTATTCTCTGCATTGGAGAGAATTTGCGGAAAAAAAGTTCCCCCATCTCAGTGCGGAAACTCCCTCTTTCACCCTACTCTGAAATTAATTACGGTATTCAAATGCGCCTAGAAAATAATTTTATAATTTTTCTTTTTTAGATGTAATTTCATGTGAATCGTAACTGTAATAAAAAATTTTGTAATTTTTTATTATAAGTTACCACTATTTATAAGTAATAATCTTAAGACTATAGAAAATCTTAATTCTAATTCGCATTGTCACAGTTTTTATAATTTGAACTGTAAAGAAGAGTTTCTAAATGTTGAACCAAAATGTGCCAAAATAGCTCCGAAATAAATATAGTCAAATTTAAGAAACCCCATGTATTCAAAATTGAAATAGAATATACTCATTCATAGTCTCAAAGGTGTTCTGGATGGTGAAATGTGTGAGAGAGATATTCATTGTCTCAATGACAGCTGGTAGGATTCGAACCAAAGGTCTCTGGGATCGTGGGATGCTGTAACCACTCTGGTCCAGGGAGAATTAGGAAACTTTATACAATCAACATACTCTTTTGCTCGATTAAAAGTTTTTAAAATATAGCGAAATAAACAAAAAATGAAACTAAAATTTCCTATCTCAAGACTTAGCTATTGGAATTATATTCTCCAAATTGCAACCCTTAATGCCATTGAAACTGGAAATTAATTTGCAACAATTGGAAATTACAACCGTAATTATAGCATCCTACTAAGAACCTAAAGGTCCTTGGTTTGTATGCTGCCGGCAGCTAACGAACATCTTTCTCACACATCCCACACTTCGCATCCCTTTTGAGAATCTTCACAAAAATGAATATATGCGGTTTCAATTTTGAATACATGGGGTTTTTTAATTCCTCCATTATTTATTTCGGAGTTATTTTTACAGATTTTTGCTCAATCTTGAGAAAACATTTTTTTCACAGTGTTTACTATTTATCCCAGGATTCCAAAATATAATTAATTTCTCAAAATGGTCACAAAGTTGAAATAAGCAAAATTTTGATTAAAAAAAGTGAAATTGAGGGGGGGGGGGCTCAAAGAGAAGAACAAGGGGAAGAACTAAAAGAAAGGCAATCACATCATTTATCGACGAACGTAAGAGGACCGATGTTATATATGTGGTCAATACTATATTAGTAACAGCATCGAAATAGCTGTATTGGCTGAAGTTAAAATGTTTATTTTTGTTTTATAAAATTATTAATTAATTAAATTATTTAATTATTTACTTTAAAAGTTTGGTCACACTTGTTTCTTGCACCAAGTGCTTCAATTTCCTTTTTATGAGAAGAAAAATATTTCGAGACAAACAATCATTTTTCTTTCTGATTCAGCACACTACGATACATTGCGCAGGAAACATTAAATTTAAAGTATGCACAAAAACATCTTTTACACAAGTAGATTGACTTTTTATTAATGCAATTCATTAATATACTTCATTAATATTTTCTTTATAGTAATAAAAATCTTATTTTATTATTATTTATTTTTGTGTAATTTTACTAGTAGCAATGGGCTGCTACACCAGCAAAGGAAAGTTTGAATATATCTTTCACAAATAAAAATAAGAATAAAAAATTGCAAGGAAATAATTTTAAAAATTGCCTACGAAAAATAATTTTTTCATAGACCAATAATTCGAACTTAGTTATTTAGCATTTAAAAAATAAAATTTAAAATAAAGTATATAAAAAAATCTTAAGGACAGGAATGTCATACTTACTCGATAATCTATTGATTTATCTAAAATTAAGAAATAAGTTAGATTAAAAAACTGGAAGTATTTGTAATTCATTGCTTTTATCTAGATTAAATATTTATTTTTTTAGTGATATTTTTAATAACAAGAACCTATTTAGTCGTACATTTAAACTATGAAGAAAATTTTCCCCTTTTTTTGTATTTAAATAACACACATTAGAAATATGTTTTGAAAAATGTTTGTACCAATAATAGTTCTCTAAATGCACTTCAATACATCTTTTTTACCTTTCGATCAGCATTTTCAAAACTAAAAAACGATACTTTTAAGAAATAAATATTTTCTATTTTATTATATATATA